AATGATCTTGTCCCTCAATGTTGCCTATATGATGACAAACCCTTTAAATGCTAAGATATCCTTACAAGTTGCCTTCAATGACCATAGCGTCCCTTTCGATAGTCCCTCAACATCCGATGATAGGGCTACCTACTCACTAATAGTAGGATAACACTATCTAAAGGGTATGAGGAAAAGAATACCCTCTTTTCGAGTAGGTAGATGACTCTTAAGTACTTGCCAAACCTAAAATTTTCACAATTACACACTTTTAGAAAAATCTTTTCAAAAATGCTTTATCACACTCTCGAGGACTGATACGAGAGTTACCATAAAGCAGACAAAATCTTTCAAAACACACAAACATAAATGGTTTTCAAAATGAGCAAGTACCTAAGAGCCAGTGGAAAACCACGGATGGGAAGGGTGCTAATACCTTCTCTTTCCATAATCTACCCCCCTTACTCAGAAAATCTCGAAAAAGGTCTTTTTCTGTTCTTTTCACCCTTTCCTTTATTGGATAAAAGAAAAGTCAGTGGCGACTCTTACTTACCGCGACATTTGTGAATACAAAATGCAAACCAATATTAACAGTCGGTTTTGCCATCGTATCACAGTAGGTATGTGAATTATCAGGGTTATGTTATTTATTCTTTAGGTCATGATAAATACGTAAGCCTATCCTCGTGTCATTCATCCTCTAGGTTGGGATGAATGGACAAATTTAAATCATATTATCTATCCTCTAGGTTGTGGTAAGTATGTGAATTATCAGGGTTATGTTATTTATCCTCTAGGTCGTGATAAATATGTAAGCCTATCCTCATTTCATTTATCCTCTAGGTTGTGATAAATGCATAAACATATTCTCATATCATCTATCCTCTAGGTTGTGGTAGGTATGTGAAAATCTATAGTCCATTGTGTCATTCTCCAAGCAATAACAAATTATCAGGTTATGTTATTTATCTTTTAGGTTGTGATAAACACATAAGCCTATCCTCGTATTGTTTACTCTTTAGGTTGTAGTAAATATACGAATTATGCGATATAACTCATTGCATTAGTCTCGAAGCAACAATAGGTTATCTATCTCTCTGCGATATAATTCATTGTGTTAGTCTCCGTGTGGCAATGGATTATTAGAACTTTGCTTTATTCATCCCCTAGGCAGCGATGAGTATATGAAATCTGCATTATAGCTTACTATGTTAGTCTCGAGGAATTAGTAAGTCAATTTTCAAACTTGTGTTATTTACCTCCTAGATCATGGTAAATACGCAAAAAATCTACGATCACTTTTCTAGATATTGGCGAGTTATCCGCATCGTCATATCTAAGTCAAATTAAAACTCTTTGTTCAAACTCTGGTAAGATGATACATCATCATCTTTGCTTATCCTTCTTCATCCTCTGGGGTATGCTTTACAGTATATCCTTATCTAGCCAATCTTGGGTCAAATTTTGGGGTCTTTCACTTTGTAATAATCCTTCGATTCGAATGTGCGAGACCGACATATTCTCGCACCTTCAATAGAAGAGTAATTAAATAGGGGCAGTTGTCATACCCCAAATTTGCCCTACTAATTTCTAACCATTTTTTTTATTGTCATTAATATTTAAGTGTTATCATATTCTTTGTTTAAAAGTATAATATAAGCTTTATATTATTTTTGTCTATTTCAAATTTTTTAGATATGATGGGGGCGTAATTATAGAAAGGGAGTGCCTTTATCGAATGGGATGACCCATCAAAATCTGATGGCTCTTTAAGTTTTTAGGCCCATGTTAAATAATAGAGGGGTGTATTGCTTCAAGAGGGCCATCAAAGTCTGAAGGCCAAATAAGGTTTTTTGACTCTTTTACAATAATAATAGAAGGAGGTGTATTTTTGTTTCATTTTTTTAGACTGTCCCATTTCAGTTGTTATGGCCCTATTAAAGATCAGATGGGTGCTTTTTTTGGTACATAGGCCCATGGTACATTTTTTTCTCTGTACAGCCCATTAAAGAAACTTTTGAAGGCCCAACAACTTCATATTAACCAAATCAACTTTTCTTTCTTTTAATTAATTTTCTACTTTTATAATTATTTGTACAATTACAACAAATATATTATTATGGTTTTGTTATTTATGATTATTATATTATAATTATTGTTTTTCGTTATTATTTGTTTTTGGGACTTCGTTGACCGAAGTCAACCGAGGGTAAAAACCCTAATTTTCCCAGCAACGGCCCTTGTTCTTTTTCTTCTTCGTTAAGCTCTCAAAGGCCCAGAAAATAGATTTGAAGCAAATCTCATAATCAAATAAAATAAAAGGTGTTTTATTCATGAATACAGACACAAAATCGTCCAATTTTATAAATAATTTGTAAATGAAATCAAGAATAAATCTTAAATTTACAAAATCAAATCCAATACAAATCAATTCTAACCATAATTTTTCTAATTTAATTCCTATTCTTCTATAATTACACAATTGTAACAAAAATCATGAAAAATTTCATAAATCAATCTCTAAACTAAACTAATAAATACCCCTAATTTCTAAACCTAAGAAAAAAGAAAAAATCAAAAAGAAGAAGGAGTAGAAGAAGGTAGCTCGAAGAACATCGCCAACGCAAGCTTCAGAGGAGTCTTCGTTTCGTGTAGACTTAGGATTTAAAACTATGAAACCCTAGACTTCTTCAAATCGCCGTCGCTTTTGCTAACACCTTCATCCATTACCTGCAAGACGAAGAAGAGATCAGAAAGAGGAGATCAGACCGAAAATCAAAAAAACAGAGATTCACCATGATAGAGGTACCCCTCGATTGCACTTAGCTTAAATATTTTGTTTAATTTTAATGATGAGATTTGGAGTTGGGGTTGAGGGGTAGGTTGTGCCGCCACCATTAGGGCATTGTCGTTAGGGTCTCTAGTTGTTGTTTTCATGGTGTAAGAAGAGAGAAGACAAACAGAAGAAGAAACGAAGATAGAGAGAGAGGAGAAATGAAAATGAAATGAAATGCTGAGAAAATTTAAAAATATACTCCCTACGTCCTTTAGTCCGTTGGGACACGTGGCCAACATCTGGCCACGTGATCCCATGTACCCTCGCCATTGACCCTCATTTTTCCACCCTTCGATCATTATCAAGTGCTAGTGATTTCACTAGCCCACGATAAGCCAATGCGCACGCGTGCACAAGGTCTAACGAACTTCATATGTTTTTATCTTGGGCCTAGGCACAATCATATTAACACCTCACAACTTCTTCTTTTTGCTACGGTAACCCAGTCTGGCACCCCCTGCTTATTTGGGCCAAGTTCAATTTCTGAACTTGGGCCCCTACTATTTACACCTCCTAGATTTACAAAATGAACTCCCCAACCTATTTGGGTTCAAATTTACATTTGGACCCAGATATTTTTTCTAACACACCACCCCAAACTCTAATTATTACACCACTTTTTAACTGAATTAAATTATTTTATTAATTTTATTAATTTTATTTTTCTATTTTTATTTAATTTATCTAATTGTCATATTTTTAGCATTTGCATTAAATATATTTTTGTATAATTATTAATAAATAATTCTTAAATTTTTAATAAAAATATTTAACATATTTGTAATAATTAAAATAATTTTTTATTAATAAATTTTTTTTTCTAAGATACTAACCCTAATTTTTTTCATTAAGTATTATTCATTCAAACTTATTTTTTGTATAATTGCATCATATATTCGAAAACAGCTAACCAATCAATTATTAATAATTTTCTACTAACATAATTCAAATTTACATTTATTTTAAAAAAAAAAGGATTGTGGGGATATTTTTTCATTAACTGCAAACTACGTCTGCGATTCCACAATTTTCAAATCCAGACTTGGTTCAAGGATTAATTCAAAATATTTCTACAATCCATAAAAAAATTAACCAAACACTACGAACTACGAATTGGGACTCTGATTCCTCATAAGAGGATACGTAGGCATACAACTTAAAAACTGTGGCGAGTCCCCAAACAACAAAATTAAAACCCTATTCCTAAACCTTAAACCTAAATCCTAGTATCCTTGTGAACAAGGTAGATGAAGGGTGCCTAACACCTTCCTTTCGTCTAAAGTGAGTCAAGACAGTAGTGCAGAAATGACTTTTTACATCGGGTGAAATTGACTTTTTACATCGGTTTTGGGTCCGATATAAAGTTAGGCGATATAGTAAATCAGGGACTTTTTACATCGGTTTTGGGACCGATGTAAAAAGTCCCTTTTTTACATCGGTTATAATATCAGAACCGATGTAATAACCTGTTATTATGCACATTTTTTAAAAAATTGATCCAGTTTTTTACATTGGTTGGAAGTAATACCCGATGTAAAAAGTCCCTTTTTTACATCGGTTATAATATATGAACCGATGTAAGAAACAGTTATTATGCACATTTTTTAAAAAAATTGATCCAGTTTTTTACATCGGATGGAAGTAATACCCGATGTAAAAAGTCCCCAGTGACGCGACTTTTTACATCGGTTATTATCCCCAACCGATGTAAAAAGTCCCTTTTTGAAAGTTTTTACATCAGTTTTTACTAATAACCGATGTAAAATGTATGAAATTTTTTTGGAACAGATTATTTATTTTCTGGGTTTCTCTATACAAATATAATTTATTTTAAATCTAAACAAGCAAAAGCCCATAAGCTTCATGTACATTGGAGATACTAGCTATCTATGAAATGGAATTCAGAAATGGTAGTAAAAAATTAACATAATAAAAAAGTTACATGTTAAATTCACATATAAAAGGTACAATAACAAATAACAATCCAAGAGAGGTAATAATGCAGCAAGCTAGAAATGATAGACAAGAATCCCAAAATTAATCAAAGCTTCCACATAAACAAACAACTATGATTTCAAAATGTTAAAGCAAAACTTAGCATCAAGCGGCAAGGCAACCGTGTTGTTCTATTACGCTAATCAACATATTATATTATGCTACACAATAAAATCTGAAATTAGTAAAATTACCAAAACTTAAACTCAGGAAGGCGGCGAATGAACGGTTTGAACTCATCAGACCCTTTAGTAGGTAGCAAAGGTCCATCAGAAGGCTCCATCTCAGGATCAACCAAAGGTGACAGAAACCTAATCAACAGATTCAGCATATAGATCCCCAGTCCATAAGACACAATGTAAAATCCTTGAATATAAAAAACCCTCAAAAGGTATATAGATGCAATTACAAAAGTCCCAATCCATCTATACATAGAGTGTGGCGTAGATTTATCCAAATAATATTGAAATAGCTTCGAAAATTCCTGCAACCGTTGATTCACAGGTTGCACAGCAGCAGCAGAGGCACTGCTGCCTCCAGTTCCTTCCATTCGATTCACAATCTGTAGAAAGAAAAAAATTAACCAACTCATTCGCAAATCTCGCGTGTCAAAATCCTAAAGTACTCGATTAACATTAATTAAAATAAATAAATCATATACAAGGATTAATCAAGATTTATCAAGTTAACTAACAAAAAAAACCTTCGTTCCAACGAATTACACACACGAAATTAACAACAAATCTCAGGATTTCACAATCGTAAAGTTGATTTATCAAAAACGATGAATACAATAACAAAACAAAGTGAATCTGGCGTGGTTTTGATGGTTTGAGGTGGTGAATAAAATAATTTAGATACTCCCTTCCACTATTTCTCTCTTTTCAATCTCTTCTTACAATCTAACATACTTTAAATATAAACTCAAAGATGAATAATGCTAATCACTCATTTTCAAAAAAAAATTTACACTTACAGTTGAAACGGCGAGCGAAGAGTCGTGAAGGGCGTGAATCGGCCGGCGAGGAGTCGTGAAGGGCAATCGGCAGAGAGGAGTCGTGAAACGGAGATGGTGAAGGTGAGTCGTTGACGGTGGGCGTCGCGGTGGGCAGCGGTGGGCGTCGGAGGAGAGACGACGAAATGGGTCGGTCGTTGACGGTGTTGGAGAGACGACGGTGGGACAGAGGAGAGACGGCGAAATGGGTCGGAGAAAATGGCAGTGGTGGGCGTCGCGGCGAATGAAGTCGCGGAGAAAATGGGTCGGAGAAAATGGGTCGTAAAATGGAGGAGACTGTACAGTGTTCGAGAATATGAATTTTGTTTTTATTATTTTTTACATTGGTGGACTTTCCAACCGATACAAGCGTTTGGCTTTTACATCGGTGGAAAGTCCAACCGATACACGCGTTTTGTATATTATTTTAAAACTTAGTTCCATCATTGGCTTTTACATCGGTGGATCCTGCAACCGATACAAGATTTGGATTTTACATCGGTGGAAAGTCCAACCGATGTAATATCTTGCTTATACACGCGTTGGCTTTTTATCATTTTTTAATATATTTTATATATTAAATCAAGCGAGTTTATTACATCAGTGGAAAGTCCAACCGATGTAATATCTTGCTTATACACGTGTTGGCTTTTTATCATTTTTTAATATATTTTATATATTAATTCAAGCGAGCATTTTTTACATCGGTTTTTAGTTAATTCCATCATTGGCTTTTACATCGGTGGATCCTGCAACCGATACAAGAGTTGGATTTTACATCGGTGGAAAGTCCAACCGATGTAATATCTTGCTTATACACACGTTGGCTTTTTATCATTTTTTAATATATTTTATATATTAAATCAAGCGAGTTTATTACATCGGTGGAAAGTCCAACCGATGTAATATCTTGCTTATACACGCGTTGGCTTTTTATCATTTTTTAATATATTTTATATATTAATTCAAGCGAGCATTTTTTACATCGGTTTTTAGTTAAACCGATGTAATATCTTGCTTATATTTTTTTTACGTTTTTGACACCTTGTTTCTTATTTACAAAAATGCCACCGTGTTTTTTTTCTGGAAATCTTTTACATCGGTGGATGAGATTGCCCGATGTAATAGGTGACGAAAAAAAAAATTTTCCTTATTTTTTATATCATTGCAAATAAATACCTGATGTAAAAAGTTTGTTAACTGTATTTTTTACATCACATATTTTGATACCCGATGTAAAAACTTTTTCTCAAATGTCTTTTTTTTAGTAGTGAGACCTAGAATCCATGTATCATCAATTAGGGTTATTCCGTTATATTCCCATCTTTAGATAAAAATTAATGGTGGCGACTCTATATTTTTTTCCGGTTATTACACTATGTATCTTCCACCTCCTGCTTGTCCCATCTATGCTTCTACGGAGATCCAAACCCTTAACCACGAGTTAAGTGCGAAAAATGAAGAATTGAAGCCTTAGGTCTCCAAAACTATTATCACAAAGAATGAATTAGCTTATCGAGTCAAAATGATGGATGAGTTACTTGCAAAAAAGAAATGGATGATTAATAAAGAGACTAGCAAAAGATTTAGGATTGGTGAGGACTTAAGGGCCTCTTACTCCACCATTGACAATAATAAAGAGGAACTAAATAGTGTACTCATGGAATATGCCAGATTGTAGAGGCAACGGGATGCTCTTGCAAAATTAAAGAAAGATATGGAAAATTATTAAGAGAGCCAGATAGAAGATCTAAAGGAACAACTCAAATTAAGAAGAGAAGTGCTTGAGAGGGAATGCGTCCAAAGTATGAAGGTAGATCATCAACTCAAAGGGTATCACCGTCAATTAAAGGAAACTTTAGCAGCAATGGAGGAGCTCAAAATTCAAGATAAAGTTGAGAGGCCCAAGTGTGGAGTTCTGCAAGAAGATATTAACAAGCTACAACTGCAAGAATAAGTTGATAATTTGGAGGGTTCCCTCAATCAAATGGAGGTACTTATTCAAGAGATTCATGAAAGGACAAAGCATGGAATATCAAAGGGACTTTTTGAAGAAGCTCAAGAATGGAGCAAGGAGTACCTAAGATGGGATAAACCTGCTAACGTAGAGTTTGGAGATACTTCTTAGGTTTTTTCACTTTCCATGTTATAATGATCACCTTTAGGCTTGTTGAAGGGATCTTTAGTTTCTCTTATGTTTTGTTTGTACTTTTCATCATGAACTCGTTGTTTGTTATTTCAAAAGAAATGAGCATTTTATTTTGTTTTTTATTCGTGTTTTAATCATTCTTAATCCAACAACTTAAAAAACCCCTGAAAATAAATAAATAAATAACATTTCATGCATTCGTACATTTCATGCATTCATAACACGTGGAACCTTTTTTTGATATTGGTTTTTTCTTTAGTTTGACAATCAGACTTCTCACCGCTACATAATAATCACAGATCAACTATGGAACAATTACACGAGGATTTAGCTGAGACGAAGGTTGAAATGGGTTTATTTATGGTAGACATGCAAGCTATGGTCCATGGTCATGAACTTCTCAAGAAGGAAGTCAATCAGTTGATGACTCAGATGAGTCTAGTCATGGAAATTTTAAGGACAATGCTGAAAAAGGAAGGCAGTCTTATACCTGCTACTACCCCAAAAGTTATGGCTTCTCCCCATCCTTTGAAATCAAATTAATATCAAAGACTACGTCATGGATCCCTTTCGCCATTTTGGCTCCAGAACCTCCTCCCCAGTAGAAAATTCATGTTTCCCAAGTGGATCCAAGAGGAAAGATTTATCAACAAAGACAGAAAGGGCCTGAAAAGAAATTTGATCCCATCCCAATGCCTTATGCTCAGTTGCTTCCTCAATTGATGAAACTCTAGTTGATTAAGCTCCGTACTTTGGATCCTCCCATAAATCCTCATTTGGAGTATGGTTTTAATGATATGTGTGATTTCCATTATAGGGAACTTTGTGACAATGTTGAGAATTGTAAGGCTTTGAAGTCCAAAGTACAAGAGCTCATTGGTTCAAAGGAAATCTCATTCATGCCTGGTGGATTAAACATGTTAAACATGCCTACTAACACTACTCTAAGAGAAACGGTTAATACTTTCTTCTATCTAGGATCCACTTCATACCAAAGGCATCCTCCACAATCTTAGGTTACAGAATCTCCACACTATCAGCCTTTGCTTGTTCCTCGACCAAATCATAAGGGTAAGTATCCTGAGCAGAGTTGGGGCCCAAATCAGTCAAGTAGGTAGAGGTATAGGAGACCAAAAAAAGTGTACGATCTAATTCCTATGCCTAGTGGTCAGTTGTTCTCTCATTTTCACAAGCTTTCTTTTCTGGAACCCGCACAACTCGATCTTGTTCCTTCTCCTTATCTTTCGGGATTTGATCCCAACACCCACTGTGAGTTCCATTATGGGGCATCTAGCCATCCAATTGAATACTATAGGGCATTCAGAGACAAGGTACAAGACATGCTTGATTCAAAGGCTATCACATTCGCACCGGACGACCAAAATTGAATTCTCCTTCGACTTAGTGAATTCCAAAACTACAAAAAAAACATCCTCTGAAGCAATAAGTCCATATGGAGTCAAGCCTCCTTAACATTGGTAGTATTTAGTTTCTTTTCTGCATGCTCATTTGTAATCTTTCTTGTTTTACTAAGTACTCATTGCATGCAAAAAGTCATTATTTTTGAATAATAATCACAATGCTTTATTTTGAAGTAATCCATTTGTTTCACTCTTAAATATTTTCTTTGCTTTTTGATACTTAACTCTTATAACTCTGGAGGGAGGGTGATGGACATGCAATACCCAAAATCTTAGATTGTATGCTTTCGAGTAAAACCCTGTTGACGATGTACAAGCATTGTTTCAAATCCCTAAACATCATAGATATAAGGAAGATAAACCCTCGTTAACCTCTTTGAGCCTTGAAGTAGGAGTTTCTTTTCAATGCAGAAAAAACCCTCAATCTTAACCAGGGGTCGGGTAGTTCTCAATTATTTTGAGCGAGTGTTCAAAAGGATTGTCCTTCTGAAGAGACCATGATGGTTATCCTTCACATGTCAAGAGGTCGAAGAGACGTGAAACCACAATGGTTATCCCTCATCCATCAAGGAACGAGGCAGTCATCATCACACGATTTGTTCAAATCAAGAAAAATAAAGAAAAAGAAAAAAAGCCCACTAAGTCAAAAACTAGAAGACAAGTCTCTTAGGAAAAATTAGGGCATCTTGCTGGATTATCAATTCAAAAGAATTAATCCAGGCAAAAGTTAGGGAAAATAAAATAAATAAATAAGTAAAGAGAATAAAAGGAGAATGAAAAGGAAAAGCAAAAATATTACAAAGAAAAGTCCTCATCAAAGAAAAATCAGTATGACTACAAACACGAAGAAAAAAGGGTGAATGCTACTCCAAAAGCTGCTTTGGTTCCTAAACTATCACAAAGTCCTTCTTGAGAGATGGATACTCATGTTTGAAATAATCGACAGAACAAATCATCAAGATGAAGTCGCCATCAAACGTTTTGTA